ATCACATCCCACATTGGTGGCACCTTTGGGTACATGTCGCCGGAGTACATGCTGAGGGGCGAGCTGTCCGAGAAGAATGATGTGTACTCCTTTGGAGTACTAGTACTTGAGCTGCTGACGSGAAGGAAGGTAGTSACACGGGCGCCGTCTGGTGTGGGATGGCAGACACTGGTGGACTGGGTGAAGCCTTTCCTTCGGGGCGACAGTGAAACAGCCCAAGACCCGAGCCTGACATGCCACGTGCTATTCTTGATCGCTGTTTGTGGGATCAGATGGCGGAAGACTCTACGAGGCAAATGCTGATGAACACTTTCAGACTGGCGTGGGAATGCGTCCATGAGGACTATGGATCAAGGCCGCCAATGCGAGCAATTGTGCAGCGCTTCCACAGCATGTTTCTCGATGTAGGATGGGACTTCTTGGTCAGAACAATCGACATGGAGTACCTTCTGGCTATGTCAGAGGCAGCGGATACCATCTGCAAGGACGATGATGCTGAGTCACAAGAGCATCACGAAGTGCTCCTAGAGTAAGGGAAAGGATGAGAACTGTAAATACTGAATACTCTTTGTATAATAGATATATGAAGTCATTTGTGTCTTAGCGAGTGATAGCAACTAGCATTGTACTATTGGGTAGAATTCTAGCTCCTGATCTGCTTATAATCTGTAACATGGAGTCTGTTTTGCGCGCAGCCAGCAGGCTGGAAGGTGTTGGAATCTTTCACTTGCTGGCAGGCGAAAGTCACTGTGCGGGCCAAGACCTGAAACTGCTAACATTTCGATGTGTGGGACCTTCATTAAATTCAGCTAAAGGTATCTTAGGGCAAGACCCCATAAGCACTGGACGTCTTGCCATTGGCTGTCGTGGAAGTGTAAAAGTGTTATGGCACTGTAGCATTGGGCTTGGAGWAGTTGTCACCAACTCCGCATTCTGGTACTGAATCTTCTTAATTTAAACGACAGACTTTAATCATTTTGAAATTTAAAGTAATTGGGCCAGAGATCATCTCACAAATCAAAGAGTTTCAAAAAAAAAAAAAAAAAATCAAAGAGTTCAGAAATCTGTCTTGAGGTGATATCAGATTCATATTATTTTTCAACCTGTGGTGATATCCTTCCGAGGATTCCTCATTATCATCGGGTTTTAAAATTAAGGGGTAACTAGGGCGCAGTCACGAAAGCAGTTTGTAAATGCATTTCGCACTGCCTCTTTGGAGTCCAGTATGGTCCCGAGTTTCAACTGCAGTAGAAACTCTTGACATGCACAAAACGCGCAAGGCCGAGTTTGCAACTGCAGTCCAGTCCGGCATGTGGCATTTTTTTTTTTCTTTTCTTTTTTTATAGGGAAAATTTGTCTGGCGCCCCTGTGTTTTCCATTAATTTGCGTTGCGCCCCTCTGACAGCCGATTTACCCTGTCGTGCCCCTGGGCCTAAAAATCTTTTCGGCAGGCCCCTGTSGGTAGTGGGAACAACTTTCCAGGACGCCCTCCCTCACTCAACTGGCGGTCCCATTCCATCGGGCGCCATATGCCCTCGTAACGGGCGCCCATCTTCCTGCGCTGCCCCTATGTTGGAAATTTSAATTCACTAGAACTTTTCTTGACGCGAAGTGAAGGCCAACCTCCTGTCCTCTTGGTTTTCGCTCCCCATAGCAAGGTGAGTGTGGGCCGCCCCGATGTTCCTCTGCTCTTCATGTCATTCTCTT